ACTGTGGCTGCAGGTTTTGCACCTTTTATAGTTCCTCAGGTGTGAACTAATGTAAAGATGATCATTGTAGCCCCAAACAAGGCACTGGTACAATGCCAGAGGGTGGAGAGAGATTCTGTGTGCATATAAATGTAGAAATAACAATAGTAAAATAATTTTAATAAAGAAAAAATGCCTGTACAGACTGTAAAAATGAATAGAGATATTCTTTAAACAATTAAACAGATTTGGAAGAAATTAATGAACTTAAATATTATGATATATTTATAAAGAAATAGAATATCAAATGAGCCTGCAAAAAGGCTCAAACCGGATTTTTTTCCCCCCTCAATTTAATAAAGCATAATTGTGCTCTTTATTCAATTATATTTTATTTTATTTTACTTTAAAAAAGATGGTTTTTGTACATTTTATCACTATCACCTCATCATTCTTTAATGGCTACTCCCAAACTGTCAGTACAAAATGCAATCTGCTCATTTTAATGGAGAACCAAATCAGTTTATAAGTCTTAACATTAGTGTCTCAATCTTGGTAGATCAACAGCAGCGTTCCCACTTATTGTATGTACTAAACCTCTGTTTATCCAGCTCTCATTTAAAGATCAGACCATTAGTGTCTTCTGAACTTATTGATAACTTATATCCAAAAACTGAACTGGGGTTGGTTCATATACCAAAAAGGGCATGAATATTAAAAGATTATTTTAGTAAAAAGAATCTTAAAGAATAAAATCTTCAACTTCTATAGGACTTTGTTGATGATTCATTTATTTGATATTTAGCGAGGGGACTAACATATACAGGATGGGTTGACTTAAATCAACAGAACTACTAGTCTGAAGAAACTTTGTTTACTGATTCAGATCTTTTCTAAAGCTTCCAGCTTGTGTATTTATTTTTCTTTCACTCTTTAATGTCTTTTTATAGCTGTTTAAATACTGAAATCCAATGCTTATAAGCACTTTACGTCACATATTTACAAAAGGGTTGTTTTCCAGCACAAAGCAGTTGACAGAAGAGAACAGAAAGAAGGCCAAAAAAAAAAAAAAAATGAGTAGTGTTAAGTGGATCTCAGACCTTAGTGGACTCATTCTGGTACCATTATTAGAGAGGATTGTCACTGTACACCAGAGATATACTTATAAATGTGTGAGATGGTGCATTTCCTTTTATAAGCTAGTGCAACCCCTTGATCTTGACACATTTCTGTTAAAATGGGAATATGCAATCAATAACTCCCTGCCTTTCTCAGCTTCTGATTATACCATGTGACCAAAAACAAGTCAGCCTGTGATGTATTGCTTTAATCTGCGCCAAAATTTTCTGGTTTATAAAGCACATCATCAAGAACAGCCCAGATACTCTAATCCCCCTATAACGGCACCCATGAAGGTCACACAGTGAAAGTGAGGAAGAACCCTTGAGGAGCTAAGTACCACTTATTTAAAGCTTCAGTTAAAGCAGCACAGTCTGCCTTAAACCCTTCTGAGTTCAAGTTGACACAAAAATGATCTTTTGGTTGGCTGATCAGGCAAATACTTAAAGTATTATTTATTACATACATAGAAGTTAATATAACACACAAGTTATATTGTAATGTTCATGTGTAATTTGCGTGAGTGCAAACAAAATCATTTTTAACATCAACCATTCACACTGCAGTAATTCGCCAAAGTACTGTTTACTATTTTTGTACTAGAATTTTAAATTTAACTTTTAATTAATCCTAAATAAAAGGCAGACAACCTGTTCAGAGTTTATAAATATAGTTTATGGGGGACTTGTTTGGTTTAAAAGTGTTAAATATCTCTATAGATGTTTGGCAGAAGGAAACGTCATTTCTGGATCTTGTGACTGCATGTCAACATCATGGGTTTAGTCTTCCGACACAATGAGGCCCTTCATTATATTTAGAGCTGACCTCAACCAAAGCAACTGATTGTACACACTTTGCTAAGGTTTTTAAAATCTTATTATACTAAGGGTCATACTCTAATATTAGCATAGTTATTTTTGATTAGTTATACTTGGTTTTGAATTACAAACAATGTTCTTTGGTAAAGCTCAGCTTCATGTTAGTGGCTTATGTTTTCACATCATTTAAAGCCTGTTTTTTTATTTCAATTCCAAATTTAAAGCTGAGCCTATTGCAAGCATTATTCAGTTGAATATCACAATTTTGGGGATTTTATGCATCTAAATGGTTCATATTGTAGGTTGTAATTAATATACTATATACAACTTCATTGAAACCCATTGAAGAATAAGCTGCACAGGTTTGAATCTTTTTTTTCTTTTTCTTAAAAGTTCATAACTCAAACCTACTAACACTCTATATAAAATTATAATATCATGCAAATTACTCAGTCTATTACATTTCAATGGACTTTGTGATTTTGAAGGGTCAATTCCAGGACTTAAATTTTAGCCTGCTTGTCCATGTCTGCATCAGCTGTGTGTTTGGCTGCGGCTCAATAGTAAGGTTACAGATTTTTATGCATCTTTTAGGAGCAAGACAATGAACCTTTACTTGCCTTTTAATGTGTAGAATGACACCATGCCATACCACATTTATTTCTAAAGCACTTCAAATATAACATAGCTGAAAGAAGTGCTGTGCAAATATAAAAAAAAAAAAAAAAAAAAAAAACAATGAAAAATGCAATAATATTGGTGAATTAAAATTTACACTTAGACAAACTTTATTATCATATTGTATACACAGATTATATACAAAACGAAATTTCAATGCTTACCGTGAATGAGCAGCTTACATCATAGAATAAACACTGTATATATAATGAATTAATAAATGAATGCAATATAATGTAAGCAAATAACAATAAATGAATTGTAACATTGCTTTGATTTATAGATAACATCTACCAGTTAAGTCCCCTTTTTAGTAACCTCTTAGTTAAACCAGGTGTCAAAGTTTCAATTACCTAGCCAAAATATTCACCTTAGAGGAAAAAAGAAATTAGTGTAAAGAACCAGCCCAGGAACCAGCAAAGTTACAGTTGGGAGATAATGGTTCTACATTAACCCTACCCTCAGTATAGTAAGTTTCAGCAACATAGAGTGATACAGAACACAATGGAAGAGAAGTCCCAGCTCCAAACTAGACACCTCGACATTTCTCCCTTTCAGTCCATAACTTATTAAGAATTATTAATTATTGCTAAACAATTTGACCTTGACGGCAAAAAATATGACCAAATCAAGATGAGGCTTTTAAACCTATTAGACCTGTACTAACTCTAAAGCATGGAAGAAGTAGTATCATGCTGTGGGTCTGTTTCAAGGGACTGGATCCAACTTTTATAACTTCCTCTCAAATCAACAGATATTTAATGAGTCTTGGACACATGAACAAGCAAGCATGAAAACAATGTTAATAATGTATCAAACCCAGTTTAGAAACAGATAAGGGAGACTAAAACACATTCAATACTGTTGACTACCAGCGCTGTTTAAGTGCTTAATGTACATTTGAGTATCTTCAGAAAAAAAATATTTTCCTGGTCTGATAACACATATTCATATTTCAAAGCAGCATTTGCTCAGAGATGTCCATGATATCCACAACTATGAAAGCCAAAATACTGAAAGGGCAGCTGGGCTTGTTATCACTTTCCAAAATATTCATAAATCCTCAAGTTTATCCAGTTGATTCACAATGAACTATTGCAAAAATACCCTGATTATAGTTTATAATGCAGTTTTAAAAATCAGTGTAACTGGTTAAAACCTTCTGCAACCCTTTCTCAAATTTCCATGCAGAGTTTGTGGTTCTGGCCTGGTGCTGGCCCACTCAAATGAATTTGCAATGATCCACCCACGGGGCTCAGTAAGCTTCACTGTGGTAGCTGGAGGAGGTTAAAGATGCATATTAAAGCAGCAGATTTTGAGAAGGAGGTGATACAAATAGAGGGGAAAAAATAAAAACTTTGTATAACAAAACGGGGGACGGGCTGTTTATATTAAAAATATTATTCTGCCAAGAACTACATCTGAGAGAAGAAAAGAATTTGAGGAAATAGGTGAAAGGCCTCTTTTTTTTCACATTTTCTGTAAGAATGGGTTCTGAAAGCCTTATTAGCAACTTAGTTTGACAAATAGGCTGCTGCAAGCTCTTGGAATTAGTAGCAGCAGGGGGAAAAAAAGGCAATAAATTACATCATAAAGTCCCTGGCTCTAAAAAAGAAAAACCGGAGGCTGTTTCTCTCCCAGAAAGGCCACAAGGATAGTTTGAGAACAGAATTTCCCAAGTTATTGTCTTGTGACGCTTTATATGCTTTACTATACAGACTGAAATCACTTTAGCTTTTTTTTTGAGGATCTGCTCCTGATTGATTGATTGATTGATTGATTGACTGATTGATTGATTGATAGATTGATTGATTGATTGATTGATTGATTGATTGATTGATTGATTGATTGATTGATTGATTGATTGATTGATCACACAGTGGAGAAATTTACAGTATATACATCGCATCCAAATGTGACAGCTTTTTTTTTAAATAGTTTTATGGTATATTATTATACCATATTGCACAGGGTGTTTACATTGATACTTATATAGATGGATATTTCTATATATATAGTTATTGCACTGGGTGTCAAATATAGAGAAACGGGTTAGTGCACAGGGTATCAAATGGTAATTGCTCATTATACATTGCACAAGTTATTGTCGTTGTAGTGTTGCACTGTACCGTCTGGTCCGGTCTGGTTCTTACCCTTCCAGTCAAAACACTGAGGTCAATGGCATGACTATCCTTACTTAGTCTGACATTTTGACCTTGTCCGAATACATTCTTTTGCAAATTGGAGTCCCAACCCTCATGAAAGACAAACAAGTTCAATATGAAGAATGAAATGGTTGTAAAAATGTATTTTGCTCTTAACTTATCAGGTTTGGATTTTGTATCCTGCTGGTCTATCAAAACCGATTTTAACCATCTGTCTTCCTTCTGTGTTTGCCTTCACTAGATGTTGGAGCCAAAGGTGGATGCCTCTTCTTGTGAGCTGGGCGGCCCAGAAGTAGATAGAGAAAGTGTGGGCCTCCACATGCCAATGCACAGCCCAGAAGGTGAGGACAGCAGCCTGTATCCCTCCAGCCCCTCAGAGCCTGCAACGCTTGGAAGTCCTCACCCTTCAGAGCCGCTCACGCCTTTGGATGAGGTCTACACACCCCTTGGAGGTCTGTTGGGATCTGGGGACCGACATAAGGTTCCCCCCACTCCACCTCCTTCGACAGAAGGCGAGGATTCAAAAAGCATAGAGGGGCATGAGATGGACATATGGAAAGAGTGTAAAGATGAAGAGGAAAAGATGGCAAAAGAAGAGGAGGAGGAGGGGAGCAGCAAAAGAAGTGAGGAAGGAGATAAAGATGGAGAGGGAGACGATAGATGTGAAGATGAGGCCAACTTAAATCTTGTGGCTTCAAACACAGATGAAGACAATGTGTCTGAGCCACCTGACACCAATGCCCCCCCTTCCTCCTCCTCTTCCTCGTTTGTCATCCCTGAGTTGCGTCTCGATCGCTCTTTCAGCGCCGATGCCCTCTCCTCCCCCAACACAGACGAAGAAGAATATGACGACGATGAAGAGGAAGAGTCTGACGAGGAGGATGACGAAGATGACAGCGACGATGCTTACTTACAGCGAAGCGACAGCAAACGCCGTAGCATGGTGGAGGGTGCCACGTGTGAAAAGCATGGCGGAGGCCGGCTCAGTGTGCAAAATTCCCTCCGACGCCGCACGCACAGTGAAGGCAGCCTCCTGCAGGAGCCCCGCACACCCTGCTTCACCTCTGACAATGCCATCAACTGTCTGGAGGCTGGCGGTGTGCACCACAAGGGTGGCTGGACGCTTCCATCTCCCAAAACCTTGAAGAAAGAGCTGATGAAGAACGGCGGCTCCATGCACCAGCTGTGTATGCTTTTCTCTGGGAGGAAGGTGAGCAAGTTGTTTTTGGTTGCCAGAAGAAGAACAAAACATATTTAAAGGGTTTATTTTTAAACTTTTATGAAAAGGGCTTTGGGCTGCTCAGTGGTGCACTGGGTAGCACTGATGCCTTGCAGTAAGAAGGTTCTGGGTTCAATTCCTGGCCTGGGGTCTTTCTGCATGGAGTTTGCATGTTCTCCCTGAGCATGCATGGGTTCTCTCCGGGTACTCTGGCTTTGTCCCACAGTCCAAAAACATGACTGTTAATTGGCTTCTCTACAGTCCCCTTAGGTGTGAGTGTGTGTGTGTGTGAATGTTGCCCTGCGATGGACTGGCGACCTGTGCAGGGTGTACCCTGCCTTTCACCCACTGACTGCTAGAGATAGGCACCAGCACCCCTCGAGACCCCACTTGGGATAAGGGTGTTAGAAGATGGATGGAAAAGGGCTTTATTTTGCCTCATTTCTTTGACAAAGTAGTCAGTCTGTGGTCTGTGGTAAAATGATGACATCAAGTGGTAAAGATGAGAAAGTACACAAGATAAATCCCACCGAACCTTAACTATTCTACTACACTGTATATTACAACATACAGTGTTATGCAAAAGTGTTCATATCATTTATACTTGTTTACATGTCATTTGGTTTTGTTCACACAACTTCTTCTTGAAAAACATTTTTTTCAAAAAATATTTTTATAGGATGTATATGCAAAGGATTTTTTGCTTTATTCAGTTAAAGCTCAATCAGCTTTTCTTATGCTGAATCATAAAGTGTCAAATATTCAAAGCTAAAGTTTTTACACAACTTTTACCATCAGTTTAATCAAGCAACAGTCTCTGACACTTCAACCAATGAAAACTAAACAAAATTTAAATTAGTTATAAAAGCCCAAAGTTAACCATTTGTTTGTGACTATATCATTCTATCTTCAAAATTTTTTTTTTTTTATTTCTATTGATGAAGAAAGGACATCCATGTTTACATACAGTTTATTTCAGTTAATGTTGTAACACCACCAGCAATAATAATCCTTATCATCATCATAATCATTATTTCATTAATTTATTCCAGTGAGCATATATAATAATCTGTGATTACCATTATAATAAATGATACAATAAATAAACAGAACAAGAAGCTAAATTACTGAGAATTTTATTATTTTATTATTGTATTATTCTTGCAGTAGTTTCTATAGTTAACCAACAGGGGGAAGCATTGCATTGCTGGCCCAGTGGTGGGCTGTGGTTTTCTTTAGCAGATATGTTGAAATTAATTCTAAATATTTCCTGAACTGGCTCACATATAAACTATGAAGTATTTTAGCACAAAATACTTTTACATGTATATTGCATTTACTGTAATGCACACAAATTGTCTGCAGCATAGTCAGAGAGATCATACATGCATATAGAGTTGAAAAATCAAGAGCAATGGAGGTAAAATCACAAATACAATCACATCAAGTCTGTCATTCAGCAGACTCAATGACAGACTTGTTGCAGAAGTAAGAGCACATTTTATCATCAAACAAAATCAGACGTGCTGCTCCTCCTTATCTGCTTCACCTTCCACCAGTCTGTCAGCACTCTCTACATCCTTAAATGGCCGTGAGAGCGCTCTGTAGCGGAGGAATGCAGCAGACAGAGCTGGAGCCTGTTTGTCTTGGCAGATTCAAGAGTAATTTTACTACCTATTGGCGTCATGGACACATTTCCTTTGTGGGGTTTGTTTCCACTTTTCAGAATGATCCTTAGACACACATCTATAACTAAATTAGTAAATATTGCAACATTTTGGAAAGCAAATATGTTTATGCACTCAGTTTGAAATCATAATGTTATTTATGGGTATTCAGTTTTTTTTTTTATTCCATGAATACAGGAACCTGCTAGAAATGTGTTGGTTTGCCACCACTTTAATATCTGGGGCTCTTTCTGTCAGCTCTGTTTTCCTTTGCCAGCCAATGTTTACTTGGCCTTTATTTAACACCAACTCTGCCCCTGTCGTTTTTTCCACACTGCACTTTTTCCTCTCACTGGTTTTGTTTTTCTTATGGCCTGTCAACAACATAAGGAGCCAACTACATTTAAAAAGAATCTCAGGAAGTAAATTGTCTGCTTTGTTGTCTGAATGGCAAAAGCCTCTGCTTCCAATTAAAAGGGATTTATTGGAATTATAATAATAATTTTTCCTAAACTAAACCACTTTTTTAATGCAAAGCAAATGATTATAACTACAAAGTCAAAAGCAAATACTTAGTAAAACCAGGGTGAAATGCTGAAGTGAATGAGTTTTAATTATTAATGAACCACAAAAATAATGCACCTTGATTTTTTTTAATCAGTATTTTATATATATCAGATTATCTCAAAGTGTAGTAGCTTATTATAATTTCTAGATTTGTTTTCAAATAAAAGTATGTCTCTACCAGCTTTCCAAAATTAGAATTTAGACTCATTTTTGGCAATTACTTTCTTTGTGAAAACAAAGTGTTGATGAAATGATATTAATATTTTAATTTTGCATTTAAAAAACGCAGCAGGACATACCAGGTGATTCTGAGTTATTATGAATCAAACAGGCTTATTTTTAACACAAATATTCTAAATTTAGTCGTGCCACATCAGCACTCTAATTAATAGCTAGTAAAAACCCATCTGTGTGTGGTGACGTCAGAGGGAAAATGTTGAGCTAGCTCAACGTTCTATAATGGAGATAGATGGAAACATTAATGGTGGTTCCAAAATGTCTAGTCTGTAATGGGTTTGTGTGGTCGAACCATCTGCCGGTTCAAACTCAGGAGAGGGTAGTGATGATGAGGAATATGGAGGCATCACACCTTAAAGGTTGGAACCATATAGAGTGAACCTGTAGCCTACAGAGAGTCAGAGTCCGAGCCGAAGGGTGAAGGCCAATATGACCCGAAGCAACCCTGGCAGAAAACACATGACAGGGATATTTTTTCTTATTCAAGATAGATGTGGAGCTGGAAGTGGAAGAGCTGGGAGCGACATCGGCAGGCTCCTTTTCTCACCTACAGGAAGCTGTAGGTATGACTGTCATGTCAGTGTTTTACTGAACAACCAATTGAGTCTTTCAATGAGGGAACAAGATAAAAAAAAAAAAAAAATCCTTTTTTAAATGTTCAAAGCACAGAAGAGACACCATGGAGTACTCAAACTTCTCCTGATCTCAACTGACCTGCTTCACCCACTTTGAAAGCAACTCCAGATCCTTAAGAAACCCATATAAGCTGAGTTATCCTTATGGGCATTGAGGCAAAAAGCTGAGACAAAAAGTAAAGACATAGCTGCATCTTAATCCATGAAAACTCCAACCGCTTTTATATTAAAATCGGTGTTCCATCTCTCAGTCATTCTATTGTATACGTTACTCCTGCGTTCTCCCTCAGTCACTAAGCGGTGCTAGAGCCATCTGAATGGCTTTTTCTTAAATAAAAATTATTTTATGTGGGTGCCCTTGAAATTATTACATTGATCATCCTGATTAAGGTTTTGCTCTATAAAATATACTAAAAAATGTCAGTATTGTGTCAACAACACTTTAAGCTCTGGACAGATTGGATAGAGAACATTAGATGTCTAGATCTCACAGATTCTTAGTTTAACTTAGATCTTTGCTAACATTACATATTTAAAAATTTTCCATCAAAGCTCTGGCTGCATGTGAAGAATGTTCAACCTGCTGGAATGAGAACATACTACATTCTCTTGTCTTTTGCCGTCTACAATTGTTTGAAGTGATCAGTTCTCTTCTGGCTCCTTTTTTTAATCTTAAAGATAATGCTTTAAAGAGTTCTGAAGCAACAAAATGTTGATTCAAGTTTTAGAAAGATGTTGGATTGCTAAGAGGAAAAAAAGGTGTTCCTTAGCTATTTTTTTGGCCTGGTTTCCAACATCAGGCCAGACTTTACTGTTTGGGGTTTTCATCTAGGATTGCACTGTATTCAGTCTTATCCCTATCCACCTATTTTCCTTCTAAACTTTGGAGAAAGTAATCCCCAAGGGATGATGCAGCCATCTCAATATTTTACTTTTCAGATGGGATGTACATGGTGATGTGCATTCTTATTTGCTTCCGGGAACAGTTGTATTTATACTGTCTGATTACTAGATGTTGACTTCAGATCACAGTCAGTATAGAATAATACTAAATATTCATGTCTTTTAATCACATGATGACAAAACATATGTCAGAATATAGATGTAAGATGCAAATAGACATAAATAGGTGTAGGCCTAATTTCTGCTTGTTTAGTTTAATTAGCAAAGGCTTTCTTAGAATCAATAAATCTCTATGCAGGTGACATCCGTTGATGACTAACAAAACTCTGTTGGATTTAGCAGGCCGAATGTTTTGTTTATCAGGTCGTAATGCTTGTTTGAAGATGGAATAAATATCTTCTCTCTCTTTGCGGACATTTGCGGGAAACGATCTTAATGTGTTTACGGATGCTTAGATTCTTTGGATGTGCCGATAACTGTAGGCAGACAGAGCACGAGCCAATTTAGTCTGAATACATCTGAAGTAAAAATCGGCCTTTTGATTAAAAACAAAATCTTAATACAGTTTAACACTTGTACTGTATAATTTCTCTGTTGGGATTTTACAAATGATGAACTCTTTTACTTTTATAGCAAGTTTCTTATGTTTTTCCTGTTATAGTTGCTCTAACATCGTTTTGCATAATAAATAAAACAAAAACACATTTGAGTTGAAAACTTCAAGTAAATCTTCTATCCCTCAAATATAAATTGTGCATATATTTTTTTGTTGTAAACTAAACTTTTGGCCAACATGAATATGTGGCTAAAGGGTAACATGGAAACAACTTCTGTGGTCTATTCATATAACAAGAAAGAATTTAAAGTAATATGAAAAGCTTTTCTATATATATATATATATATACAGTAAAGTGCTTAGTAGGATAACACACCCTGAGAGGTGAAGTTTGGGATCGGTTAGAGTTAGCTTTAGATTCAGAAT